TAAAATGTCCCTCTCACTGTACCTTCTAAACTTTGCATATTTTTATTTTATTATACAAAGAATATTGATAATATAACCCGTGTTCCTATACACTAACCAGTACAATCCGTGCCCTAATAAACTAACCAGTACAACCCGTGTTCCTATAAACTAACCAGTACAACCCGTGCCCTAATAAACTAACCAGTACAATCCGTGCCCTAATAAACTAACCAGTACAACCCGTGTTCCTATAAACTAACCAGTACAATCCGTGCCCTAATAAACTAACCAGTATAACCCGTGTTTCTATAAACTAACCAGTACAATCCGTGCCCTAATAAACTAACCAGTATAACCCGTGTTCCTATAAACTAACCAGTACAATCCGTGCCCTAATAAACTAACCAGTACAATCCGTGCCCTAATAAACTAACCAGTACAACTCGTGTTCCTATAAACTAACCAGTACAATCCGTGCCCTAATAAACTAACCAGTACAATCCGTGCCCTAATAAATTAACAAGTACAACCCGTGCCCTAATAAACTAACAAGTACAACCCGTGCCCAAATAAACTAACCAGTACACCTATGTACCTTGACAAACTAACCCCGACAACCCGTGTCCCTAAACTAACCAGTACAATCCGTGCCCTAATAAACTAACCAGTACAATCCGTGCCCTAATAAATTAACAAGTACAACCCGTGCCCTAATAAACTAACAAGTACAACCCGTGCCCAAATAAACTAACCAGTACACCTATGTACCTTGAAAAACTAACCACTACAACCCATGTCCCTAAACTAACTATATAGTACAACCCGTGCACCATTACACTAACCAGTACACCTATGTACCTTGAAAAACTAACCCCGACAACTCGTGTCCCTAAACTAACTATATAGTACAACCCGTGCCCAACACAATAACCAGTACACCCATGTACATTGACAAGTTAACCGGTACAACGCATGTTCCTTAATACATTGTCCGCAAATATATAAATCGATTCAGGAAAAATATGATATCTTGACAAATAAGATTACCTCTGCACCTATTCTAATCAATCACTGGGAAGTGACAATTATCAAACCTTCGTCATCGTCAACTGCCTGGTGATCACAACTGTGAGTGCATTAGAGGCTGTCAACTCTCATATCATATAGCATTCCTACAATTAACAATATTCATTAAAATTATTGACAGTGATTCATGACTCGTGTCAGAGAAACATTTTTCATCGCTTGATAAAAGGTTCATTTCAATTTACCATTTTAATTATTATTTGTTATTTGTTGCTGGACCGTGACCGATCGCAGCCAAGTCACGTGACATCAAATATGTCAATATTTCAAAGAAAGTCACGCTTTCATTTTATTTCACACGATCAATCTTTGAATCCAGTCCTGTCGTCAACATTTTTTAGTTAACACACCGGATTTTCCTTGTAGTCGCTCTACTATGTAATAGTCATACCTAGTAATCAACAGAAGACGAATGGGCACGTACGTAAACGTGTGATTATGAATGATCAATATAATCAATTCTTTAGAAATAGTTTAATTTTATCAAAATCGCACGCCATATTCCGTAGCAGTATCGGTACGACGCACGCAGTGTATGTGTCCACCAGTCTGAAAGATGTTGACTGACTGACGGGCACGGCAACGCCAACATGGCGGTTTCCCGTCATTTTCACGTGTCTGTCATCCGTTACACAGTAGTATGTGCGGTTCTGTATTTCATCTCTACTATACACAGCTGAACGGGATATCATTTAGGAAGACCTTGGTTGAACTCTAACACAAAATCACCCCGAATTATCTTGCAATAAAATCTTGTCATCATGTGACGTCATAAGTTATTTGCATATAATGATTCTTTAATGATAACAACTTACAACTTAAATATCGCGTTTTTTAAACGAACAAAAGAGTTGTCGGTTTGTTCAGGCTACTTTATTCACCCAAGCCACGCGTCGTGGATTAATTCGACATTGTGGTTCGCTCCTTTGTTTCACCCCTCAACAAGGGACCGTAATTAGACACGTCCATTAGAACCGTTTTAACGGCCTTCAAGTTAAAAAGAATAACCAGCTACTACTATAGTCATTCCCATTTACTGTATTTGTATGGAAAAAACATAAACAAATCGTCGAACACACAAAAAGACAAAACGATGCGCAATGTGTACATCTTAGTCTGACCGTTCTTTGCCGTTCTGTGAAATAGCGTGTTGATGACATTGTAAGACGAGTTCTCAGCTGAAAGCCGGCCGCAAACCCATCACGCGAAGAACTTAACTTGATTGTTTTTAACGTTTTTTTTTTTTATTAGGTCAGTGTAGCACTACTGCATTAATATCTAAGTCATTATTATTAGTTACTGATCGAGAAAAACGAAGACAAAATTATTACATTTGAAGATATTTATCAATTATATATGAAGTTTAATTCGCGGTATCGTTTAACACTCAGTTCGAAGTTCGACATTGTTTCAAAATAGTGCTTTCATTCATTATGTATCGCTGCTCAAAAACAATAATTATGTACATTAAAATTATGACCATTCATCGTCGAGCGTTTTAGTGTACGGTGTTATTCATATAACTATCTGTCTTTTTTTCATTTTATAAATAACCCAAATCACTGATATAATAAGTGTAACGTTATTGGAATATGCTGCGGTTTTTTACTTAGTCACCTCACGTCGTGACCTTTGACACCAATTTGCAACTGTCTTTGTGTGCCGTGAAAATAAAAAATAAAACGTAAAGCGACCATTGGTTTGATGCTAATAACCTTGGGTCCCGTGAGAAAAATCGTCCAAAATAAGCCCTTCTAGCGGATCTGACTGAACAGTGGGTGAACCGGCGACGCTAGAATTGCTTTCCTCTGCTATGTGCCAATATTTATATGAGCCTATTCATTGAGCTATACCACGCTGTGTGCCTTTACGCTCATAACAAATATAATGAAAAATTATTATGACCGCTGATGTCATCTTTCTATTATAATGTAAATTGTCCGCAATGAATGGCGGGAGAAATTGATTCCTTCTAATCGATTACCATCCTATTTTAATATTATTAGCATATAATTTGCATAATTAGTGTATTCAAAACGCAGCGCCTTCTCGTTCTCCGCATCACTTCGAGTATGACAATGACGAACATGGCTGCAGTCCAGACAAGCGGTGGGGAAAGCGCAAAAAACGGTGTATCTAACCCACCACAGACAATCCCTCTCAAGGATCACGACGCCATCAAGCTATTTGTCGGCCAAATACCCCGAAATCTTGAGGAAAAGGACTTGCGGCCACTGTTCGAAGAGTACGGGCGGATTTACGAATTGACAGTGTTGAAAGATCGTTTCACCGGCATGCACAAGGGTAGGTACATTATAACCAAAACACGTTTACTACAAACGATGTTTCATCGTGATATTAGCTCTCACAGTGTGTTTTAACCTAACTGATTCTCCGAGATCGTACTTCTATATCTGACAATGAATCGTGTAAAATTTGGTGCAATTACCTGTACAAATAACGACTTAATCCTATCTTTTCTCAGGGTGTGCGTTTCTTACTTATTGTGACAGAGACAGTGCCCTCCGTGCACAGAGTGCCCTTCATGAACAGAAGACCCTACCAGGGGTACGTACGTCTTGTTATTATGCCTATATTCAATCTGATGGCTACTATTACACTTAGTAGCTAGCATGTCTATAATATCCATGGTTAATATAATAATTTCCCCCAAGATTATTTTGTTTTTCCTTAATTCAGTGACAGTGTCATGACTCGGACATTGCATGACAGTACGTCAGTGGAACAGTCATCACAATACAAGCGATAAATATTCGTATCTGCGCACTGAAATATTTTTTCTTGGCCTTCCTTTTGTGATGTGTGTTTTTTTACTTGTTGTCACCGATCAAACATTTTATCTGGAACTGCTTGGGTCGCGTGCCGTTTTGATCCGGTCTTTGTTAGTCTATTTGATTGCGGGTCTTTGTTTCTCTGTCTCCGTACTAGACAAAAACAAAGGCGCTCATCAGAGAGAGTGATGTTTACAAACGGTAAATGAAAGTGCGCGACCGATTCAGTTGACTGACTTTGAACTCGCCATGCGTGGACTTTATTTATTACACCTAACAGTGTCATGCCGATTGCATCGTTTTGAATTTTATTATAAATTGCCAGTGATATACGTTTTCGAGGTTCACTGGTTAAATTGTGACCGGCGCGCCCCAAAAATAGGAAAATTCGAACGATGTCCTTAACTTCTTTCTTTACTCCTCTACCATTTCGCACCTGTCAGCGAAGTTAAATATTTACATCTCCATGCGTACGCATTTCCGTATTTTAATGTCGATCAGTGGCGAAAATAGTTTATTGTAATTATCCATGTGTTGGAAACAAGCACCAGTTCAGTGTTCAAACGGAATGTTGTTGAGGGTAATTTTGATATACTTGCTTGATAGCCCTCTTAAATACGACTCTAAAACAGCTGCCTTGCAGAGTGCTTTGCAAATACTTTTGCGATAAGATAAATTCGAAAATATTTCCTGATTTCCCCGGGTTCATTAAAGAATGGCGTCCTTTGGATGTAGCAACAGAGGCAAATGTCATTACTATTTTTCCCTTGTGTTTTTTAGCTCATGATATGATGATAGGTGATACTCCCTCTGGACGCGTTTCTTCAGTTAAACACTATGCATAAACAGACAATATTAAGTTTTATATCACTTTGAAATTTTATTTCCTCCCCAGGGTAACTTACTCTAACATAAAATTATTCTTAATTTTTTTCTTTAATCAATTTTGGTGGAAGGTCGTTACCAGTCTTATCTGTATAGTATTACAGTCTGTTCTCTAGCAAGACATTATAGACATAAGCAGTCTTGCTACATGCTCGTTTTGAACCAACCCTGATAAGGTGAATCCTTCATGCCCTTTGTCTACGCATTTAATTTTTAAATTAGGTACAAGGACTTACAGTAGAAATGTGTGGGCCACACTATTTCTATAATTCATCACACTGTCATATGACTTCAGACAGAGGGCTTCCGAAATGAACGTTCATTAACACTGTCAATATCTTTGCCATCTCTAGAGGTTTTATCCTTGTTGGCATTTATGCGGAAATATTAAATTTCTAATATTTTGACTGATTTTTAATTGCGTTAAGAGTTCTTGACCTCATATTCTTTATCGATAGAATATTATAACCGCAATACGATATTAATACGGTCTTATTTTGAAATGTCAGCTTGTCTCACCCCCTCATTCTCTTCCAACTGAGAGTTTTCTGTCAGTTAATTTCATTCACTACAATTGATTTTATTTCTGAGATCGCATTAGATATTCATTTTTTTTGCATTACAAATTAACTTCGTTATCACATAAAATGCTGGCACTATCGCTGTATGCTGTTATTTTCATTATAATTCAGTTTTTCCCAACTATATGGACATCGCAGAATGTATATGGAATTTGTGTAATTCAATTGTTTTAAATGTAACTTTCAACTTTTAAAGGTGAACATAAAATTCATATCTATGAAATCTACCCCGCCACTGTAGAAGATAACTACTCTATTGTTAGTCATATTTTTGGTAAAACATTTTATATCCATATATCTTAAATTTTAAAAATAAAATTTCCAAAATTCATGCAAAAATGCTTTCATTGTATTGTTGTTTATAATAATAGAAAATGAAAAATTAATTTTTCATTAATTTTCCAGGACTGCAAATAATTGATATGACTTGCACATATATTTTCTAGTAGAATTAAAATTGTCTTTATGCTTTTGAAGGTAAAGTTTTTGAATTTATTAAAAATGATTTGCTATAATACATGAATAAAATTATACTAATTAATTGGTATGTATATGAAAGCTGTAATGTACACAAAATAATGATGTGAATAATTAACTAGATATCGTACGTTTCATCCCTCATTATTTCATTGTTTATTATTATTGCTTTTGACTTAATGCTTATTTGTCTTCCATCACTGCACATTGTCTTTTATGCTTTCACTAATACTAGGAAATATCATTTTATAAGAATCATTAGCAGTTGGTGTATTCTGCATAACTGTTTTTAAACTTGATTCTGCGTATTGAGCTGCAAACATTTTTTTATTACAACGGACTAGCTATTTGAGTCAGCATTCGTTTTCTTTGTTTTTTTATTCATAATACCTTGAGGTATTGATGAAAAAATCAGAGCTTGGGATTAGTTTATCATCTTAGCTCCTGACTTTCTTTTCACGTAGTTGGCTTATACACTGTATAGCGATAGACTGACAGTTCCAATACACCGACCGAAATATGAAGCCTATGACGCGGTATCGACACGCCTAGTAAACAGAGTATGTGCCTGGCATGTTAAATGGACAGACTTGTTAGTTCATTAAGCTGTAGAATCAATATCCCTTTCTTCCAACTCTTGTTTTACCCAGCATTCAAACAAGAAATTGCTTATTGCCTTTTCTATTGATTTTCTTTCCCTTCCTTTCTTTTTTCGCAACTCCAATTTTATGGTTTTGCCAGACCTTTGTAATTTTTTTCTTTTTCAGAACAATGGATTTTGTTTCCTATTGTCAGTCACTGATAATGACTTGCATTGTACCCTGTGTTGCTTACTCACCACTCAAAGGCCAATCATTTTAGTAATCTCAAACAAGTTATTGTGACATTTTCCCGATTCTCGCATTTGTTAAATATTTGTTTTCAAATATAAAAATTTTTTTTTTTTTTTGCAAAAATATTCAATATTTGGAATTTTAAATTATTGTAGAATACTTTATTTTCGCTTGGAATTAATTTTCGCTGAAGAAATAATTCAGTGAAAATAAAATTCAGCGAATATACCTTTTTTCCAATATTTTACATTAAAATTGTCACAACACACAAGTCTTTTCAGCAAAGATTAATTCCAGCTAAAATAAAGTATTTTATAGTAACATCTCACTTTTAGTACAGTGTATTTAAAAATTTTGAAAGTTAATTTTAGTAATTTGCTTAATTTGTTTTTCAAGCATTTGCCTTCTGCTTATCAATATAAGTCTGCAGGAATCGCATGTACTGATTTAACTAGTACCGTATTTACAACAGTCGTTCATTCGCCCTGTTATGACCTTTCTGACCTCACTTTGAGTGATATGATTCAGCGATATTTTCACTGCTTCCTTTTTTCTCTCCTTTTCTGTAATAGCCAAATAATGGCTAACACTGCTTCACCCTACTTCATCAATATTTCAGCATCTCTTTGTCACCATGGTGACTGCTCACCCTTCTGCATCATTCATATTTTTGACACCTCTATCTTTATTTCAATCTTCAAGTTTTTCATCTTTTTTCTCTCTTCTATCAGTTGCAGCCTACCAGAACATATTGCCCATCTTCTTGCTCTGCTTTGTCTTATTATTTTATCTTGATTCTCTTGGTTATAGTTATTTTGATTGTTGCTTCCTTTACAATTTATCATTTTAAAATTTGGTTTTGTTGGACCATATTTTTCAGTCTTCTGTCTCCCCATAGTAATTTGCAGTCCAGTTATTTACACTTACAAAACTGATATATATGGAAATGTGTCCAAGAAATACTTTTCATCACAGTGAATTTGAATTTGTACCAAAAAACAAAAACATTCTTAACTGACATTCAGCGAAAGTCATAATGTACTTAGAGGGCTTTGGTGATTAGATGTTATACTTAGGGGGTCTTAGTGATTGGATTGTTGCATTTCTAGTAGTCTATCTGATTGATTGACTGTGACTCAAAGTTAACACTAGATTGCATTTCTCATATTTAAAGTTTTGTCACTGAACTAAAAACTATATGCCTGTTCTAGTGGACTCCTCAGACTTGAGCAAAAATGTTTGTACTTATACTGACATCCCTAAGCTTGTTGAAATTATTCCAGTTAGACTTGACTTCTTAGGCTGGGTGGAGTTATTCTACTGGGACTTCATTTTAAATAAAACTATTGTTTGCCCACCTCTCTCGAGTGTCATTTCTTCTACCTTATCATTACTTTGTGTGTGTATATTTATAGAATATATCACTATATCTCATCATTTTATTCATTTCGTTTCATTACGATGTATATTGGTACATATATAAGACACATTAACAATTGGGCAGTGTCCCAGATCTTTTCCTAACAAGCTCACTAACCTTAGTTGAATACATGATTTACAAAAGCACAATATTTGTATATTCGCTTGTAATCCAGTTATGAGATAAGAGTTACAATTAAAAAAAATAATACAGTTTACCCTTGCATATTTAAAAAAGGCTTTATTCATTTTATTTTATTAATAAACTGGATTTTTTCATAAATCAATATTCTGACCAAACCAGAAGAAGCCAGATTCTCTTGTATTGACAGTGTTCATATTCACTGTGAAATACTCAACAATAAATGTAATAATCAACTAAAAATAGGATTATGCTCCCCCACTGAGTATTATTAATAGTACTGGTATATCTTTTAAAATTTTATCTTATTTGTGAAACCTTAATTATCCATGTAGTGGTTTTTGAATAACTAAACTTTTTCATGCGTTATTAAAAAAAAAAATACTGGTGTTTGAAAATGAAAAGTTTGTCAAATGAACGCAGTGAATTGAATTCAGGT